ACTGGGCTCAAAAAATAAAATTGCCTATCTGCAAATGAGAAAAGGGGTTCGGCCGTGACGTCAGCAGCCTTGGAGACGAAGTCACTAACGGAGATTTAGGTCCCCTGTTCGGTGTGATAGGATATTCCCGTAGTTCTCTCGTCTGCTCGACGCTGAAACGGCGCCAAGAAATCTGCCGGATGTGAACGAAGTAGAGGGGCATGATGTCGAGCATGGGAAATTTAGTCCCCGCGTGCCCCGGAGACGAAGAGGATTGTGTTCTCCATGAGCGTATCTATCCATGAGGATTAAAATAGAGTTTCTAGAAACCAGCTCGAAGTCAAACAGGTCAATAGTATCGACTCACAATTTATGTGTTGGTATCGTGCCGGATCTTGACGATCGAGTACCTGGAAATACTCTCAGAAGCTGCAAATGGCAGGAGCTTGTTTCTACGTGCAGGAACTGTACCTATGAGCTGTGCATGAAACTGTTCTTTTTACTCCTTTTCTTTTGGAGTTGCTACCAATGTTGTGTTGTTGGGCAAATACGCAATGCCGATGCAGCACCTTTCACTTCCTACGTGCTCAGAAGCTCGAAATCCATGGATGTTGTGTTAGAGATCTGAAGGCAAAGCTTGCACGTGATTCTGAACATATCCCCATGTTCGAAGATCCTTGTATCTTTGAAAAGAGCGTAGAGTTGAGGCAAAGAGGAGCACACATGAAGAATCTTGTATATACAGCCCTCGAACTCATATGCGTGTAATGCACGGGAATCTGCTTTCTCATTGTGTCAAAAATAGTCTCGAATAAAAGAGAGGAGTAGAGATAGGGTTTCAGAGCTAGGTTGAACACTTTCGAGGTCTTCTCTGTTGACTGACTTTGACCTCAATGTGTATCGATTGAGTAAAATAACTCAATCCTTTCCACCTCGAACTGGATCAACTTGAACCAAACCTTTCCATTTTCCTACATTTGAGATTCCTGACAATCGATGCCGGCGAATCTTCTTATGTGTACAACACTCTGGTGCAATCGCGGTGAAAATCAGAGTGAGGTGATAGGAGCATTATGAGAAGTTCCGATAGTTTTAGACATTTTTCATTTGTCGGGTCTGATGTTTCATAGACAGCCCCAAAAGTTCTGGCAAGACACTTATCGGAATATTTAACTTTTAGAAATGATTTCGTACGAAAGTGTGGAGTAACCACAGGGAATGCATTCGCTTTTTTCCCTTGAGTCGCGCTATTATTTTCAAAATTCTAACATCACTCCACATCATGCTCTATCTAATCCCAGCCTCAACAATCTGCTTTGGTTTAAACCACCTTTGACTATAGATTGAATGATCTACTGTATTTGATCTATTTGTAAGTGGTTGATGTACCCCTTTGGTGGTCAAGGTTGCATATCAAACCGCAAACTCCTCAAAGTTCGAAGTCTAGAGAAAGCATTCGGAGGTTTATATCGGTGAAGTGAAGTGGGTTCTAGAGGAGCAACTCCGAAAGCAGAACGGAATCAGGGATAAGTGTCAACAAGGAGCTCAGCATGGGCTTGTAAGAAATGAAATGAGTATTATAGCCTAGATAAAAATAAACCTACGTTATTGGAAACAAAATAATACAATTCTTGATAAAACATTATCATTCTTTACAATAATATAATTGCATCATATTGCATTAGAGGATTCAAAGAATATGTATACTATTCGAACCTTGAACGAAAGTGTACATGCTTCGATATCTCTTGAATATATTACACCTTCTTAGAGTTGTAATATGTACGAAAAAGGTGACAGATGATTTTAAAGAAAGCCATGCTCGTCACTCCCAACAAACATGATGCATCGGTCTTTGTCATAGTCGTCGGAAAAGAAGAACTGAGGTTCTCGGAGCAAACGACACACAAAACGATAGGAAGAAGATGAATCGTACAACCAGAACGGGAAGACATGAAAAAAACCAAGATAGTGTTCGGAGGCACCTCGATAATCCATAAACAATGCGGCAAGCTTCTTTCTGTTAGCCGGGGCGAGAGGTGCCGGTACAGCGCGGCAGAACAGTACGCGAAAGAAAGCCCGCAGCATTCAAGAGGGAAAGGGAGCACGTGAGCAAGGAGAATATCCTCGAGCAAAGGTAGGACGCGGCAGCGGAGGATAAATCCCCCGCAAGGGAATCATGGAAAGAAAGGATGGGACGAGCATGTGAGCCAGCCACGGTCGTCGAATGCATCTATCTGCGGCCGCTGCTGCGGCAGTCTGAAGAAGCGGGAAACGCATTTGCAGGCCGGGGCATGAGACGAGGGCTGCAACGTGAAGACCTACAGTAGTGGGTGACAACTGCTGCCATATTCCTCTTTTCCAGAGCTCCTCCAGACGCTTACGTGGACGGGAGTCGAGGGTGGGCGGGCCCGTCTGCACCTGACCGGACCGGACCGGCTCCTTATCGGCACATTCAGGTGATGGCCGGTTCTTGCCTCCCCGCGCCTCCACCTCCGAGACCTTCCCGAGGAGCATCATCGACGCCTCTCCGGTTCCCGACTCCGAGTTCGAACCCACGCCGTCGCCGGCGTCCCGCACTGTCGGACCCGGTGCAGATACATCGAACTTGCGCGGATAGAGAGCGTCCTTCAATCAAATCACGACGATCAAAGACGGCAGATGAGCGAGGAGCCTCGTCCTTGATACCCATTGTTCATTTTTTATTCGAAAATAACACGGCACCGGAATTCGGGGCCTGCGATTGGGTTACGGTCTTCGCACCGGACAGGTCCCACGGTACAGAAAATCAGAGATTTCGGCAAACAGTTACGATTGGACAAAGCCACATGTCTTGGCTGGATTGACTTCAAACTGACGGGCGCCTTGTCAGCCAGTACGAACCGGCTGTCTTCCCGCGACTGCCATAAGTCGAGTTCTTGACCCTAAGAACTCGCATTAAGTTCGTGTAGAAAGAGAATGTGGCTGCAGAGGATCGGATTGTATCAAGGCGACTGCATCGGGCCAACCGGGTTCGCCACACCGGACGTTCGAGCCGTCTTTTCGGTGAAGGCTCCCGCAGTCGTCGACGTACTGCACCGGATCACGGCGAGCCTGACAGTCGTCTTGCCGGATGATGCCATCTTGGCTTATTCGCGTCGACCGGCAGCGTCCGTCCGGCTCGTACGCTGGTATTAAAGGTGGCGAGTCTGCCATGAATACTGCGGCACTGTGGGCATTAAAGACCCGGAACATGTACTGTAGCTTCCATATCCAGCCATGGTTGAGTCAGAAATGGAACCGGGACCCCTCCGGTCAACTGCGTTGGCAGGACGGTTTCGTTGGAGTTGTCCGGTGCTTTAGTTTCCGCAATTTGGGTGTGACATGTACGTCACACCCTTCGTTCATGGTGAATAAAACCACTCTCGGATATTATATATGTTATCAAAGATACGGTTGTTCATGCTACAAAATCATTTTAAATACAATTACGTAAAGTCGTATATCACAGGACTTCTTCCAATACATGTATTTAAATAGTTCTAGATTAACCATGAATTTTTTGAGCTCTCTCTTTCATGCAAGCATTATATCGTGGCAATCTTACAATCGAATCTCCCTGTACGTATTTACGTGAAGAGAACCAAATTAATCTAACACAAGTATTACACAAGAAGTGAGGGTGACCATAAGCATGTTGATATTTTGTAATATAAATTTTGAATATTGTTATTATATTTTCGACAAAAGATAACTCTACAATGCCAACAAATAACCAACCTGTTATTTGATACATGGTTCGACAACTGAGACAGGTGTAAATTAATGTACAACAAATTCAAAGACGGCAGGTTTTGCCTGCCCGCCTCGCGCCCACAGTACACAGTGTTCGGTTCGGTGTAGAAGGGATCTGGTTTGCACAGTAGCCGGCCGAGCCTCGGGCCTTGTCGGACAGTGAAGGGATCCCGGCAACTCAAGTCTCATTTATGGTTGGGCCGGACGATGCGACCAGAGTTGAAGGCGTTGAACTTGAATCCAGTTTCGACGAACGGAGGTCGACAGTATTTTCCTGACCGGAGGCAGTCAGTCCGAAGGCGCCGGCTGGAAGCATCGGGGGTCGCGAGCCATACCACACAACATGGAATTGGAAGGGCTGCCCCGAGGCGTGGCCAAACTGAGACTGGAACCCCGGCGACAGCGACTGCCCATTGCCAGTTAACTGTGCCACCGGTCGAGCTTATGCCGGGAAAGTTTAGCGTAAAGCCTCGCCGGACCGAAGGAAAGTCACGATCAGAAAACCGATCATCCGGGAGAGCTCCGGAACTCCTGACGCGGGAGGGACGTGAAGCATTTGAACAGCCCGAAGCAGGCGCACGATGTTTAAGACCCACCGGCCGTGAACCGGCCGGCCTGGGCTTCCCGGGGAAGTTATGGTGCCACCGGACGATGCGAGGGCTTTGAACGCTTGTACCCGCAGACTGCAGGTGAACACTGCGCCGGAACAGATAAAATTCATGAGTACCGACCTTCTGGGAGAGGCACTAATGATGCGGGAGGAAGACGATGGGCGTGGTGGCCCAGAGGACATTAGCAAAAGCATGGGCACCGAGACGGACTGCGACGACGGAAAGGGACAGACAGGAGAGGAGACGGAGGAGACGTGGATAGGGTCAGAGAGGGCGGGCGGGCGGGCGGGCGGGCGACCGTGGTAGAGTTGGGAACCGGGGGAGAAGCCGGTACAGCGGCAGATGGAGGTTCTCGCAAAGCCGCCGAATTCACGAGAGCGGGCTGGCCATTGGCCGAGGCGAGTCTCGGGCTGCGCGCTCGAGGACCTGGCCACGGGAAACAGGCAGATCAACTGCCAGAGACCGGGCGGGCAGGCAGGCAGGCGCTGTTTTGTCGAAGTTTCGTTTTGGAGAGGAGACCGGTTTGGTCAAAGGAAAGGGTGGCCAGCGGAGCCAGAGCCGGTGGTCCCCACCCCTCCTCTCTCTCTCTTTCTTCTTAACGCGAAACTCATTCATCCCTGCTCCTGCCTGTCACCTCGGCAGCAGTCCCTCCAGTGTACCGGAGCAGTCCAGAGCCCAGAGTTCAGAGTCCTGTCCTGTCCTGCCTCGGCCCCAGGGGAAGTGGAAGTTGCCCAAAGTCCGCTTGACATCTTTCTCTCTCTTCCTTCCTTCCGTCGTTCTCCTTCCCTCGCTCGCTTCCTTCCTTCCTGCCCTCTCGCAGCTGCCCCTGGTTCAAGAATTCCCCCCTCTCTCTCTACACAGTTTTTTGGGTGTCAGCGCCGAGAATTCTGAGAAATGCGGATGTCTGCCCTCCATGTTCGCTGCTGCCTGCGCATGTTTTTCCGAAGCTCGTACCATAGTAGACGATAAGTGCGCTCGTCGTCTCAATTGAGAGGGAGAGAGAGAGAGAGAGAAGGGAAGAGAGTGAACGTGCACTGGCGGAGGAAAATGTGAGTGAAAGGAGGAGGGAGGCGACGAGAGCGGGATCCGTTGGAACGGCAGTGGGATTTGATCGTGGAATGAGGGAATGTGGGCGTTGGAGTCGGTAGTGTGGAAGAAAGATTTGACGGAGATTGAAGTGTAGAACGACCATTGCGAAGTGATAATAGAGAAGGTGAATTGCTTCGTGATTCTGCCCCTTGAAACGGAAGTGAGGAATGTAAATGTGGACGGCGATTTCACGCGGTGTCTTGCGGAGATTAGACAGGAGGTCTCTGTTCGGCGGAGCCCCGACTTTGAGCTGAGTGGGTGAAATCTTGCGCCAGGTGTTATCGTTTTTTCAGGTACGAGGTTCGGAGCGAAGGCTTGGCTCCCATTCACCCGCCCTTTTTTATGCGAGCTCGAGTCCTTCACAATTTGTTCTCGTCGCTCCGTTTCTTGCCTGAGCTTCAAATGCCTCTCTTTTAAAACGGCGCAGGCAAATTGTAGTGTAAGTCATGCTTGATATGGGAAGGGTGATGCATATGATGAAGCTCATGCTGCTGTGCTCGCCCTGGAGGTCTGAAGTGAGTATTGCATGCTTTCGGGTTCATCAGTTGATGCGAGAAGTTATCGAGCCTTTCGATTACACGCCTTGATCTACCGTGCGACCGCTCCTGAAGCTTTATTTCTATTTATGTCAGTCCCCTTTGTCCCCTCGTGGCAATTTAGTTCTTGCGGAGGTCGTCTCCACCTCCCCTTTCCCCGCAGAATTGGGGAGGGACACATGCTACTGTGTCTTCCTTCGTCGCTGGAGCTGCGGTCTGCATTTCGCGCATCCCATCTGTGTGCACTGCGTCAGAGGCCTCAATCCACGGTTTCATTCTAGCTCACCGTGGAAAGCGCCGGGCTCCTTTCACTTGCACGATTTGATTGAGCAGCTGGATTTCCACTTGGGCCAGTCTTGGTCATGGGAACGCTCGTCTGCTTACTCGGGCGGGGTTTGCGAACTAGCATTCGTTCATGCAAGCCGGCTTGCTCGCTGATGTATTTCATTCGTCTTCAGGTACTGGAAGCTCATCGAGATGCTCAACGAAATTCTGCGAATGTAGGAAGGGTCCGAGGGAGCTTGCCAGCATCGAGTAGCGACACGGCGAAGCACTGTACGGAGACGTGGGTGGGTGACAAATCTCATCTGTTCCGATAGGAACCCTACTATCTACGCCCTGGGGCGCCGCGAGCTTGATACTAGAATTCGAACAGTGAGGTTTGCGTGAGCGCTGATGAGCAGGAAGGAGTTCACGCGTTGAGTACGGAACCTCGAGAGTACGGAATGGAAACCAATTTAGTGTGCAGGCTCGGATCGCATGCCAGCTTGCGCCAGTGATGAGGAGCATTGGAGCTCTGTTGGGCTTGCACCAGTCCTTTTACTGCATGAAGGTTGATCTTCGAAACGCATCGAGCCCAGCAGGAGACATACGACTCGCTCAGGAAGTCCAGGAGTTCATAACAGAAATTGGACTGATAAGCTTTGGAGATTCTGCCAGCGAACTTCATCCCGTAGGTGGTGCTTTCTTCTGCTTGCAGCTTGACAAAGGGCAAGAGCGATGGGGATCTGGGGAGTCGATGAGGAAGATGGTAATGAGAGTGCCAGTAGCGGTAGGTTGGAGAAAAGGTGACCCAGTTTCTGTGTGAACATAGCAAGGATTACGAGCAGCGCCGGAATAGGGGTAGAGACGGAGAAAATGTGTGGAGTGAGTAGGCTCCGTGTCTTGCAGGTCGTGGTGCTCTTCTGTCTCGTCACCTGGAGCCCAGTGGCGAGGGGAGACGATCTTCAGGTGCTGTTGGACTTCAAGAGCAAGCTCATAGACCCCTTCGGCTCTCTTGCTTCTTGGAATTTGTCGAATGTAAAGTACTGTGATTGGTTCGGTATTGTGTGCGACGCGTCGACAAGCAGGGTGACCAAGCTACATCTGAACGCTAGCAGTCTCTCGGGCTCCATTTCTCCATCGATCGGCAATCTCTCTTTTCTGGAATCAGTTGATCTGTCTGCGAATCAGCTGTCTGGCCACATTCCGAGGCAGGTGAGCGGGCTCTCGAATTTGACCAGGCTGGGGTTGTTTCAAAATTCTTTCTCTGGAGAAATTCCCTCAGATCTGGGAATCAATGGGCGTCTGGAACATGTTGATTTGTCTGCTAATCAACTGGACGGGCCTTTTCCTCCTGCCATATGTTTCTCACCGAAACTCACCTTACTAAGCCTCTATAATAATTCCCTGAGTGGCCCCATCCCTCAGAACATCAGTTCGTGTAGAAGTCTGCAGCGTCTTCTTCTCGCAGACAATGAATTCCAGGGCCAAATTCCGGAGTCCATTGGGAGCTTGGAGAACCTTGTCATTCTGGACTTGTCTAGCAACATGTTTGTGGGACCAATGCCCTCAAATTTCAGCCAGGGCATTTCCTATCTAAGCCTGCGAGACAACCAGCTGTCAGGAACTCTAGGAATTCATTGGGACCACCTCAAGAATCTCACGCTTTTGAGTCTGGGAAGTAACAATTTGAGTGGCCAAATTCCTCTAGAGCTGGGCGAACTCGAGGTGCTGAACACTCTCCATCTGGCACACAATAAGTTCGAGGGACCAATACCCGTCACTCTGAGTCAAATTAGGCTTCTCGACATCTTGGATCTGAGCAGCAACAAATTGGAGGGGGAGATTCCGAAGGAGATCGGAAATCTGGACAATCTCTCGTCTCTGATTCTGGAGGACAACAAACTCTCCGGCCCGATTCCGGCCGAGCTCGAGGGATGCGTGAAATTGATCGAGCTGGAGATCGCGAATAACAATCTCAGCGGCGTAATTCCTCCACAACTTGGCAAGCTGACCAATTTGCAGTACGGTCTCAACTTGAGCTTCAACAGCTTGAGCGGTCCAATCCCCAAGGAGTTGGGCAATCTCACGAAGTTGACCAAACTTGATTTATCACACAATCTTCTCGAGGGCCCGGTCCCTGCGTCATTGGGAGACCTTCCGAGTCTGCTCTACATCGACTTGAGCTACAACAGATTGAACGGCACGGTTCCTCCGTTCAAGACCCCAGTCAACGAGACTCAGTTTGCGCACAATCGTGATCTCTGCTTCGTGAGCTGCGTCGGGTCGGATGGCGGGTCTGGAGGGGAGGGCGCAGGGCTTCCAACGTGGGCGGCGATTGTGATCGGCATCGGGGTGGCTCTGGCGTTGCTGGCTCTGGGTGGAGTCATCGCCTGCTACTTGAGGAACCAAGTGCAGTACTATCCGACGGAGGGAGAGCCCAAAGTGCAGTCGACGGAGGGGCGCCTGTTCGTGGATCCGGAAAGGGAGAACTTCACCTTCGAGGGCGTGCTGGATGCGACTCTGATGATCAATGAGAACCATCTGATCGGCCGGGGCCGCTTCAGCAGCGTCTACAGAGTGGTCTTGCCCAATGGCCTGGAGCTGGCCATCAAGAAGCTCAAGGTCGATACGGAGAATTCGGTTCTCAGCCGCAGGTTCGTCTCCGAGCTTCTGAAAGTCGACAAGATGCGACATCACAACATTCTCAGGATCCTCGGATTTGTGCTCCGAGGAGATTCTCTGCTGCTGCTGTACGACTACATGCCCAACGGCAGCTTGGGCGAGTGGCTGCACAGGAGGCCCGAGGCGGTGCTGGAGTGGAGCACCCGCTATCGGGTGGCGGTCGGCTCTGCGCAGGGCCTCGCCTACTTGCACCACAATTGTCATCCTCCGTTCGTGCACCGCGACATCAACTCCAACAACGTGCTCTTGGATGCTTCATTCGAGCCGCATTTGGGAGATGTGGGGCTCGCTAAGCTCTACGATCCTTCCAAGGACACCGAGAGCATGACGGCTGTGGCTGGTTCGTTCGGGTATATTGCCCCAGGTACGTTTGAAGTTGTCAGCTTTCTCTTCTTTTTCGCTCTCTCCTTGTTTTGTGATTCTGAGGCAATGCAACGAAATTGTCGTCGGTTTGATGCTTGAACTGTGCTGCTTATCGCAGAGTATGCGTACACCATGAGAGTGACGGAGAAGAGCAACGTGTATAGCTTCGGGGTTGTGCTGCTGGAGATGCTGACAGGGCGGGATCCCGTGGAACGGACATTTGGAGAGGGATTGGATCTGGTGTCGTGGGTGCACACCGCTGCCGAAAGGGAAGAAACGCCAGAGCAGATCCTTGATCCAGCAGTGTCCACTGCTTCCTTCCACGTGCGCCAGGAGATGCTCTCGGTTCTCAAAGTGGCCAAGCTTTGCACCAGCACTCTACCTTCAGAACGACCCAAGATGAAGGCGGTCGTAGAGATGCTTTACAAATCAAAGCAGAATGCCGTACAGCCGTTCCAGATTGGCAGCTTACAGTGAAGGAAAACCGGCGAACCAAATTCACATGTCACTCGGCAAACGATCTGCACTCATTGTCACGTTTTTCCACTGTAGTCAAGATGACCTGTTTCTTGCATCCATCCAACATTGAAGAAGCCATTCTCTCGTGGTAACAGGGAACCCTGGAGACGGCTCCGACTATGCCCACCTCAATGGTGGATGCTATGACCATCATCAGCTGGGCTTCCTTCAACTGGTCTGGCAGTTTTGATGTGTACTTTTGACCGACGTCTCTGCTGTTCCTTACCCAAGGTGACTTCGCCTGCAATTTTGGCCCATACGAATATTTCTAGAACTATCTCTGGAAACAAGATGTCAGGACTTGTCAAAGACTGAAGTCTTTGAACAACCACCTCGTATGGCATCACTTTGCCCCAGGAGGTACACTTGTACTAGGACTGTTAGTGCGGAAATACTGGAGCAGCCCCACTCATCCATCAATACTATAATCCAAGGGCAGTGGGAAAATGCGTCGCTATGGCTTGTACGATTCCTCTCATGTTTGCCTGGTATATACCAGGGGACTGAGAGTTGTGACACTGTATACATCGTGTTTCGATAAACACCACTATCTTTGTAACGATTCCGATGAGTCGAATTCCTGTGCCAGTTTCTTCCTGTGGATTTTGACCCATGTACTATCCAGGGGGTGTGCAGTCTTACATTACCGTGCAGATGCAGCACTCGCCCAGACATTGACTATTATAATGCTGTAATATGCGTGACTCGTGTCGAGTCGCAATCCATGAATGTATGAAGGTGAAAGAGAGGTAAGCGGGCAATTCCAGGTGTCTCGACTTCGTTTCGCAGATTCGTGAGCGAGTGGAAGCTAGTTTCACCTGCTCCCAATTTCTAGACCCTTGTAGATAAATTTTACAGCGTCCAGGCAGCAGCAGCGGACGCGGGGACTGCCAGGTTTGCTGTCGAACTGTCGATGCCTGCGATGTGGATAATTGGCGTCTAGAACCCCATTCCAAGATACGCTTTTCAAGAATGAAGCTCAGATCCAAGGACTTGGGACAATTTGCATCAATTTAGATACACAGCAGTCCTCACTGTACAGCACCAGACTTCCGTGGAGAAGATATGGGTAGAGGTTCCGGGGAAAACACACGATTGCCTAGATTACTCATCTGTTTCCACCCTGCAAAGCGAGGGCCGAGCTCACAACTTCAGAGCTGGAGAAAGCGGAAGAATATTGAAAAGTACAGCGAAGGAATCTGCACATCGCTCATCCTAAATTCTGGGCAGAAGAGTAGAGGAGCAAACACACGGGAGAGTGGCGTTAGTGAAGATCAGATTGTGATGAAAACGTTGATCAAAGGGGATCGCATTGTTAGTGAAATTCATAGTTAATAATCAGCAGAATAAATTCGATCTGGCAGATTTGAAGTTCGAAACTCAACGACGATGCACGGAGACACTAGGAAACATCTTGTAGCCTGTCTCTCGATCGAATCAATCGGAGGAAGATGGCTACGAAGCTCCGTCGCTCATGTCACAGCCGCTACTGAGATCACATTCACTCATACATTCATCGAGGGCTTCTGCGGCACTCGAGTCGACTGAGCTCAGAGGCCCACAAACATTCGGGACTCGTCACGGTGAGGTACACTGGGTTTGACCGCGCGGCTCGTCGTCGAAAGCAGATCTTCTGCATGGGATCCGAAGCGGCCCGTTCGGCCCGACATCATAATGGTCCGTTATAAAAGCGTCTGCTGCATGTTACGGCGGGGGGACGGACAGTTTCGCAAAGATCATCAGCCGCGGGCGCGAGGGGGAGAGGGGGAGAGGGCAAGTCCACTGCCACTGCGGACCGTTGTACAGAGTATACGCTCAGTGGATCATTAGCCCGGGAGCCCTGATTACGATGCCAGTGTTGGGGATCATGAGGCCGCTGCGGCCGCGAAGATTTCATGATGTGCGTCATGATGACGCGGACTGTGCACACCGCGAATCATACGATCCCTCCGTAGAGTATGTGCGCGATGCGGTCGAAGGCCGCGCATTGATTCATGGCTCTCTCCGCCTTGACTCGCTTCTCGACCACTGTCGCTCGCCTCGACAAGGGCCCGAGACATGCGTTTGCGGCATGGGCACATGCGCAGTGCAGGAGGTCGAGCGAGGTCGAGCGAGTACGTGGACAGACACCGAGCTGATCACCACTTCACGGATTCAAGGTCAACACCAGCGAGCCTGGAAATTCGCAGCAGGTCTTCAGCTCCACGGAGCGGCTGCTGCTGCTGGCACACAGTGTGCTCTCCCAGCTAGACCATCGTGGAGGATAAGTCTGCGGGCCCTCCCCCTGCCGCCCCATCAGCTGTATGTTGTTTATCATGGCGACGATCCAGCAGTCCTTCGAACTCGAGTCGGCCGCAGTCGCGGCAGGCAGACAGCTCGGAAGATTCCACAGCAACTCGTAATCGTGTCGAGATGGGTCCGCGAGCGGCTTGCTGTTTTGCTCATACTGCACCGCTCGGACTCGACACCCTGTCCCTTATCTGGACTCATTGGGAAAAGTTGTGAGATCACCATCACCTCAGCACCGCATTCTTGTCACCATGTCTTCCTCTATTGTTCACGACACTGACGCCAGTGTGAGAGCCATGAAGCGTGCAGCAGACCTTGTCCACAGTCTCGATGCGGTGCATGCTCTTATCTTCCCAAATCCAGCAGATCATGTTTTTTCTTCTCCTTTTGTAATACATCGAGTTCGGTGTTTTTTGATGCCCAGCTTCCACGAAGAACGAAGAAAAGAATTACAAAAAATTTTGTGGGTGAGGAACGAAGGAATAATGTTTTGATTAGAAGAAAGAAAAACATTACAGTAATTCCTCCCTCGGTTTGTATTTCGATCATTTCCGATGTTTAGCACTTTTGACATACAGTAATTATAACCTCGACTAATCTAAATGACAATAAGTTATAATTTATAATCAAAATACCAATCATAAAAAACTAATATGAGAATATTAATCGAAGTCTACTTTTTGTCTCGTTTGGATAGTTTCCAATGTTTAGCACTTTTGACATATATCGATTACAACTTCGACCAAGATACTCAAAATAAAGTGAAGCCGCGCCAGGGCGACTGAGTTTATCATAAGCAAAATATCCGAATTCTGCGGCCGGACCAAGAGGCGTTCAGGTGTCGAGGTCTGCCGGTAATGGTGGATTTTGTAGAGCCTTAGCGCGCCGTGCATGGATCGGAATCCGCAAGAATCAACAGACAGTCGCCATCATGTCTCGTGCATCAGGTCGCACGTCTTTTGATTCGGGGAAGGAGCATCGGCACATGTTCGTCGTCGGTGGCGACTCGGAGCAGCGTCTTCGAGCTCGTCCGTGGCGCCCTTTCGACTCACTCTCGCCAGACACTTCGAATTTCGTGATTAGAATTTTGCACGGAGAAAACGAGGGAGATTTGTATGTCATGTACGTGGAACATAATGGCTAATTTGATGCACCGATGAAAAAGTTATCTGATCGTAGTTTTAGCTTTTTCTGTCGAATTTTGAACTTTGCACAATCAAACGAGTACCTAACATTTCATCACTTCAACAGATTCTGGAGATTAATGGCACAGAAATGTTGTTTAGAAGATTAGATAGGACTAAATGAAGTTTTTTGGAGAAAGTTTGTAGGAAAATATTATCAGCAACTACCATGGTTCATAACAAGGTATTGATTTAAGTGGACAGCATCTTATTTATCATTCTTAATGTAGAGATCTACATTTGCTTATATTTATTTATCGAGAATCAAATGAAGTCTTTGGATTTCAAGAACCTTACAGTTAGGCTAAATGGTGTTTATAAAGGTTAAATATCTTACATAAAATCATATTCATGACTTTTGAAATATTAGTATTTGATCATTTACGAGCATTTTGAGACTTTGATTGTCTAACCAGAGATTTCAAAACATCAAATAATCATCCAGAAAATTATCCATATGCATATTAATCATATATTTACAATACTATATGATTTAAAATAAATAAATAAATTTTAATTATGCGGTTAGGGTACATATACGTTGATGTTTATAATGATATTTGATTTCAAAATAATTTATATTATAATGAATATATATGCACTAAAATACAGAACTTATATAAAAGGAGTGATAATATGATGCATGTATATTAGAAGATAAAAATAATAGCTAAAGCCGGCTATGTGACAAGTTACAGTTGCATGATGATTGGATTGATAAGATTATCCATGGATATACTATTAAAAATCATTAAATTAAATATTAATTTGAGCAATTGAAAGTGTCATTGTGATCATTCAGTATCTAGGTTGAAGTTGAAAAATGGAAAAAATACGTACTCTCAATTTTATTTTATTATTTATGATTATAAACAAAAAATAACGGGGAAATTATTTTTTAAAATTCAATTTAATATTTTTTTTATTTAATGTGATATGCTATATGTTTGATGAGAAATGTATAAGCAGAAAGAATCTCATTTTAAAGTTAAAGACAATGACATGTTTCAAATCAACAAGGTTTTCATGGTGATCATTCTCTAGAGATTAATATATAAGAAGATCCTGATATTTTTATTAATCTATGATTTCAAGAAAAAAAATAGTATTTTCTAGATGTTTTTTATTTTTCCTTTTGTGAAAATGTTGCTTGTAAGATTATCAGACATATATTACTAACTTCAGTCAGAAGATAATCACATTCAAATTGATAAGGTACAATAATTAAAGTTTAGTTTACTGAAATCTGATGGGAAGTAAATAATCCTGATCACTTTTAGTTCAATTTACAACTCATCACTGCATCTAGTAGTAGTGGAAGACTTCATGACAATATACTACTAATGTTTTTGGACAGTTTGAACAAGAGTGAAAATATATTTAATAGTCAACCATGTCATGGTTGTCACTGTTTTTTGGCATGCCCAATTTACAACAGTAATATAGATCACCATAATTTATGGAAGGTTATTTGTTGAAATCATGTATTGACTTTGTCGTCATAAGACTTGCAGAAGATAATTGTAGACATGTAGAATTTCTGCAACTGTACAATAAAGGCAAACTACGTATAAAAAGAGCACTCAATAATCTCTCGTACACGAACCTTCACTTTCAGAAATGGAAAGACGTTTAGTCTGGTTGATTATAGTCTAGTCTTCCCTTTTGTTTGCATTGGTTCGAACTACAAGTTGATAACAAGATAATGGGTTGGCCATCGAGAATCTTTGGTGTTTCTATTCAGAACTTGAATCTAAGTTTGTGGAGTGTAGTGCTTGAGACCAAGAGAGCTATCATTTGACTTAATTAATACTTTGACATAATCAACGTTGAGAGTCTAGTCTAGTCATGATGGGTATGATCATCCGATAATCAAGTTTAAAATATAAGGCGTAAATTCAAGTGACCGGAATACATCCGGTTACGTCTCTATGGGGATTGTTTCACCGCAACTATTGCACTTCGACCGTAACACTGCATATTCTTTCCCCATTTGTTTTATATTTCTTCTTTTTCGTTCACTTGCCTGTTTGTTTAATTCATGTGAATACCATCAAATTCTTTATGATGTGAATACCTTAACACTCTATGCTAGACCGTATTACCCTAACTTGTGAGCCAAACGATTAGTCGCGCTTGCATAGTGGAAAGAGGGACATGTTTCGCACATTTGGACATGGATATCATTATCAGGATACATCATTCTTCTGAAGATTTGTGAAATGTGTCATCTTTGATACGGCATTTCAATTCCACTATTATTCCTTGTGAATACCACTCTTTAGTAAACTTAATACAATGGTACGTTGGCTTCTGAGGTACCTTTGTCATTCAGTGTTTTAATACCTTCGCCTGTTGAAGTAAATATATTTCGTGGGACCAAGTACAAGTACTCAGTGCAGGCGATAAGGACTGTGTCGAAAGTTAAAAGTCATTCTCAGATGAATGATACACTCACGGTTCGAAGGTGATTGATTATGCTGAAAGCATAATACCGTACACAAAGTACGTGGTCCATTCAAAGCGAAATTCACTGCTAAAGCAATCAAACTTGTCTGTCAAATACGACATTTTATTGTCAATCAGAAGCGGCATCAAGTAAAATTCATTTTCAAAGGACTAAAATGCTCATTTGTCGAAGATTACAGGTCGGACGTCAAGATCTTGATGGTATGTTAGAAGTTGACTTAGGCTTACGTTACTGCATGTTCATAGGCATATTCAAAGTACAATACTTCTAAAAAAAAGAACGAAATGGATAATGTTAAGATGAAACCTTCCAATTCTACTTTCAGCTCAATTTAGCCAAATAACTCAAGTACACACGCAGGAAAGGCTGAATATAATCACAAATTGAAGCACCCGTGTTGTATATTTCAACTTCACGGAAGGTATTCGGAACCCAAACGTCGAAAGTCCACCGTGACATAATTAAACTCACAAAACTGGAAGCTGTAAAATAATCTTCAGTGTCTTTTATAATAATAAGTGTTAAACTATGTTACAAAGTCCTAATACTTACCTGTATGTGCAAGTATGCGTTAAGAGGGTGCGTCATTACTACAGTAACTATTCCAGATGTCAAAATTGAGTCGGTTTATGCTTTCAATAGGAAAGCCCGGTTACATGGTGATTGTGGTAACTGTGCTCTGATCTACTGTAGCTCCTCGGGAGTGACATTGTTCAGCATGTTTCCTCGCCTATATACTGACTAACCACCCTAACCCCATTCCGTAGATCAAAACCCAGAGAAGAGTTTTATAACACAGACAGGACTATGGAGCTCAATCGCACAAGGTCTGTTCCTGTCGGATGTCCTAAGGTAGACGGTCTCTCGAGCTGTGTCAACCATTCCAGTTTGTATAGCGTACTCAAGTGCCATCTCTGCATCAACCTATTCAGAGCAATAAATGTTTAGTAAAATGCCCAAGCAGTGTCGTTGTGGACGCTCTGATGCAACAAGAAATTTCAGCGTGTGTGTAAATATGTCTCAATAAACAAGAGCAAAGTATTTCAAGACGTTATCAGACAAGAGCAGATAATCAACCTTTGACAAGTGAAGTGCAGCAAAACATCATACCTGCTCCACATGCTGCGTTAGTTTCTGTTTGACAGTTGCCTCGGTGATCGCTTGAAGGGCCACTTTATTTAGCATATCTACATAAGTATCTCCGTAACGTGCTCTCTTAGCTTTCTGACCCTCTGCTATGATTGATAGGACGTCATAGATTGCTCGCGAAACATCTGGGATGTACCTACAGATCCATGGATTCTTTAATATTTTCGGCCAGTACAATGTAATCGATGCTTATGACAATTTTTTGTGGCTGATCAAACATAAGCAATCGACTTGATTCTTACGGTGAAGGCACCTTTAGTCCATGTTCTAAACCTACTATAAAGGAGATTTAAGAAGCTTACAACCTACAACCACATTTCTAGAAACGAATGATTTTCTAAGCCAACCATGAAAAGCAAAGACACTGATTTTACCATACCACTACCGACATTTATATTTTTGAACATCCGTATTCAAGTCAGAAGAGAGAATAACAGTGTAACGTACTTTGCAAGACTTCGTTTACGCAATTGACGATCCCGAGCTTGTTGTTGTCGCACAATCTTTCCCTTAAGCTGTATACAGCATTGCTGTAAGGCTGACTGTAGGAGATCAAAAGCAGACATTAGGAAATACACATAGGTATTTTTTTGACTTTGGCAAAGCTTAGATGTGTTCATGAGAAAGACGATGATTACTGACCTTCACTGCTGTAGCCATCTCAGTAACATCATCACCGATGTACTCCTTTCCGGTACCCTTGAAGGGTATTTTGGTGCTGACAATGCTCACAAAGACCCCGATCTTGTCTTGTGCTTGGTTAATTTTGTAACTGTTCCAACTTCAAGATCAAAACAAATAAAAGTGTTAGTAGCTTCTTTCAGTTGAGAAACTCACTGACAGTCAAGGTACTATCAACCTTTACGGAGCCTGAACATTCCAGCTACTTTAGAACGTTCTTCCATTGAAGACTTACTTTATCCTCTTCATGGCAGTCCGAGTTACGACATCACCTCCCTGTTCAAAAAGCAGCGGAATCCGATTTGCAAATCGGAAAACATTCACACCCTGCCAAATAAATAGGACACATCAACTCAATTTTCGAGTAAGGAACTAATTCTTGGAAAGAGAAAAAGCACTACTCAAGTTCTTCTCCACTGCAGATTTCTTTGGATTAAGATTGATCACGACATCACGGTCCAATCTCGTCTGCATTTCACATGACAACCCTACAAAGCAGGACGTGTTACAGTCTGACGCGAACAAACGTACCGGCTTCACATCTTTTCCACCCAAGCTCACTCCAGCCTCAACAATAAATGGGTGGCCCTCGAAAACTTGGGGACTATAAGAGGGTAGAACATCGAATACAAGAAACGTTAATAGGGACTGTATACTGTGACCATCGGAAAGTACAGAAGAAGCTGGGATCCGAAATTATCAGAAGCCAACATGAGTAAAATTTGGAAACGAATATCCACTCGATCCAGTCAAAAAGACATTTTGATAGTCTACACGACAGCCCATGAATGAACAGATAATTATTCAATCCGCATTTACTGAGCGAGAAAGCTATCCACATTATAAGAGTGTATTTTTAAGTGTAAAGAAGGAAAAAAATACCTTCCCTGATATGTCGCAACCATGTCCGGATGTAGTTCTTTCATGATACCAAGACGGAGATTGTACTCTCCTGCAGGACTTAGACACTAGAAAGATAGGCCACAATTGGAGTAGCATCAGAAAAAACTCAAAACAGATGGCCATAACAGCAGCAAAAAAAGAACTTCACAATCACATGACGACCAAAGAAGGTGCATGAGCATCTCTACCGGACGTTCTGAAGAGATTCTTTTCAGCAAACCATATCTGGAGCACATTCAACAAAAAAATACAATCCTCCTTCCCAGTATACTGACGTTTGTCAAGCACTTCGGCAATAATTGCACAGAAACATGGAAGCGACTTACATCACCATCAGGGTCATCAAACTTTGCTTGGCGGAACAGCTGATGGAGACATAAAATCTGTTGACCTGTAAGGGATTTTACAGACATTTTCTGATTGAACTCTGGACCTAACTCCTCTGCAAGCAGGTCAATGTGAACATTAAGTACGCTGTGAATTTCGAAACATACCTGCTCAAACGATCAACCAGCTAACATATGTTTTTCTAGCGCACTCCTTTGTTTTAATAAGTCAAACTTGCTTACATACCAATCAGTCTTTGAGCGAGAGGCTTATTTATGCCCACAAACTCCTGTTGGAGAAATTGAATGAACTGCGTTTTCGTTGTCTCCGCAATCAACCGTTTGATCAATAATAAATCTACTGCCGACGGGTGAAACCTCGTCTCTTGAGGGGCTGCAGGCATAACATCTGTTCTCCGAGCAAATCGGATTGTGACATTTTTGCTGGATGAAATAGCTGCCTTTGTAAGTAGCAGTCTCAGGCTGCAAACATGGATGAAGCTTCATGCCAGACGGAAGCCAGAACAAGACGTCAATGACAATAACCAGCTGCACGATGGAAAACTCACTCTGCTGTAGGTCCAATATATCGGAAAATAAACTGAGCGTACGGTGTAATGACTGCCATTTGCCGCATGTAGTTGATTATTTTTGACTGTCCACAACAGAGAACACATAAGTTTAGATTCCTGCCCACATCCTAGATTCAAACTAAGTCCTTGGTATATGAACGTCGCTCACAACTGTAACACGTGGTAAAAAAAGTAGTACCTCCAAGCTACCAACTATTGCACGAAATAAACTCACCGTTCGTCGCAAACCTGTGTAATTCATCTATACATGCTGTTCACAACGCATTCTGATCGTATGGATGTTTTTTTAAAGGAGTGGCACTCAAGCTGATCTCTTTTATTTTGCTTTAAGTTTGGCGTATCGTGTTCTTCGTTGCTAGGCAATATTTGACATACGTGGCTGAGTATGGCTGAGAAACAGCCACCGATTTCTCTATGACTTGTTGGGCTTCAAGTTATTCTCAGCGCCCGCGGGGTCATATGCAGACCCCTATGCACGTGGGTATACACTCAAAACGCAGCCAAGTATCTTCGTCCAAGTATGTGTGGTGAGAAAGGGACGAGTAGCGTCCCTTTCTGGATGCACTTCTTGCATCGGACTGCCACTTTCATAAACGCCCACTTAGTTTCCCAGAACTGTCATATCGATAGCTGGACTTCCTATCGTACTTTCGTATCTCACTTGCTTCCATATTCTACCATTTTCCTATTTTTTACTTTTATCTGGATGTTTGCATTGATTTGGTTCTTATCAATTACCATGGTTTTTCGGTTCTTCGGTCTTTGTCTTCATGTCCATTTTCATTCGATAGAAATCCGGGTTAGTATGTCTCAAGGGCGCCCTTGAGACATACCATCCCGATCTGAGGACAATATCTTAGGACCCCTTGCATGTAACGCCGCTGCGGGGTATCATGTACTCTGTGGACTATAACCTAAATCAGAATCACGTAAGGTCTAGGATTACACACACGATAAGTGCTCCAGTTGCCCGCAATGGTGACTTGAAGCTCAGCTCCCCGCCACTTTTCGGTGTTTGGCCTCTTCTCATGAACATGCACATGTGGGACGTTCCTGCGATATCGCGGAAACATGTTACTAACAGTGTATACTCTTTACATAACCACGGTCAGCTGATGCAATGATGCCTCGGAGTGGCTTGATGAAAAAATGTCAGGTCCACGTGAAAACTTTACCCTAAACTTTATGAAAAATAGAAAGATTTAATATTACAAACTATGTTAACACTCACCATAGCCACGTTAAGTAGCTGCAATAATTCTGTGGGGTAGTTATGATGCGTCATTATCAGTGAAAGATTCAAATTTTGGAAAAAAATCTGAATCTAGAAGGAGAACTAAGAGTTATAGTTGACATCTCGGATATATATATATTCATGTAGCAATCATGACCACAAAGAACGTATACAAGTTCTTGGCGATTAATCAGACAGTTTACACTCATACGATAAACTTACTTATGTATGTCGATGTCCAGACGGCAGTACGTAGTAAAACTCTGACCCTCTGTGGAACTCCAAATGTCAATAGGCTGCCCGGTACTCATTTTGGCCCAGATTAAGGCCTGAATCCAGCACATTGTTCACCAATCAAGTTTGTCAGCCAGCTTAACATCAGGAACCTCGGGTAGAGGACAAATAGAATCTCAAAGTAACAGAGCTTCATCAACCAAAATTATCACTATTCCTGCCCACTTGATTTGAAACCCTCACCATCTTCGCACCGAGTCCAAACTTTCCTCGAGTCTGTTTCAATCCGTACTTCGTCCCGGACAGAACTGCAACACAAGAAAACAAAAGTAAGACTTCTTCGAGGCTGTGAAACCCTATGAGCAGTTTGCAAGTCACTCGTGTCAGTGGACGGGCTGTCAAACTCCACGTTGATTGAAGTCCCAAAACTGCCCTCTCTAGGGTGATCTGAGTCTCTAAGGTGGATGTAAGTAAGTACAGAATACCTCGACCAAGCATGTTTGGAATGTCATCATGTGGCATGCCCTTTCCATTGTCCTGCAAAAACAGACGCCTCATGAAGACAAGCTACAAATGAACGTGAAGAATCAAGAACCGATGAAGAAGATGAAACAAATAAGGTTCAAATAGCTTGCTTCTTGTTTGTGCGCTACCTTGCATGTCACTTTGAAGACTGGAGTATCACGTCCTTTGACCAATTTTGCATCCGAAGGATTGACTTTCTTGCCCGCGGCAAGGGCCTTTGCCTGCTTCTCTTGATCTTTAGCCTCTTTAGCCAGACGTTTCTACAGTACAGAAGAATACGCAATATGAATACAATGAATATATGAATATAGAGTAGAAGAGCAGTTGCATAATTCTGAGGGCTCCAGGTTATAACTTTCCCCACATTTCGAATATGCTAAACGTGTAGTGGTGTAAGGAGGAGTTCGAAAGAATAGAAAACTGACTGGATTACACATCAACAGAAACTCGCACCAGTTATTTGACAACTCTGTTAAGCAAAGAATAGATAAATTGATAATCGTGGACCCGCAGCAAGTTTGCTCAATGGGCATGGAGAGGCAGTATATTAACCAACTGACCTCCCGTGCTTTTTCAGTCTCGTAGTCATCGTAGAGTTTTTCGTCCTTGCGCTCCAACGTCTTTATACCAAAGACTTCATCGGCCTTGGCTTTTGTGTACTCCTCACTGAAGAGAGCAAAAACAGCTCAGAGGAATTTTCTTTGATATTCTTGAGCGCAAGAGTGAACTTGTAAGACATAAAAGGAGCACAAAACTAAACCAATTCTTCAACAAAGCCAAAAACCCTTCGCTAACCGATAACAATTTACAGAGAAAAACGTTGACACGAACGGGACGCCGGTGAAACCTTTCTTTCTCACATTGTCACTTCGATTGCAGGAAGCTCAGCTATGCTTTCCGCTGAATCGAGAGCATTTTCCACAAGCTCTCGAACGGTCGTATATAAACTCTTACCTGGCTGTTGAGAAAGAAAAAACCGGCTCACATTAAACAGAGCAACTGATTCTTGGAAGAAAGACAAGCAATTCCGACATTATTTAAAGACCAAAGAAAGAACAAAGCGATAAAAACGCTATCCCTTTTCATCTCCTTGCTTACAGTGCCAAATCCATCAACACTGACACTTACATTGTCAAAGCCAGCTATATTCTTATTCTCGGAGAAAAACTCGGCGGGTGACTCTGCAAATTCGCCACACCAATGACGTAATCATGAGCTGATTGTCTGCTTACAGTGTCGAATCAAGTGCCTCGCACCAGAAGATATAGATAAAAGCGTTACTATACAGGGAAACACGATCCGAATTTCACAATCACCATGAAATTACATAATATTGCTGGTCTAAACTGTCAGAAATACAACACTGGCGGCAATCGCGGGGGCGGACAGACTGAACATCGGACACTGGCAGACAGTACAAAATTCACACAAGGAAAAATCTACGGGAGACTTGTCGCACTTTGCTTCAGCACTGAATCCTTCGTGCTTGCCTTCCCGGCTTTCCCCTTGGCTGGCTTGTCGTCCACCATATTGTCGTTCTGGACTCAATGCAAATGAACGATCTTTCCCTCCATGATGGTTCACAGGACACCGATCTCAAGAGTTCCAAGAGTGTCCATCGGCAGCAGCGCGCGCACAAAATAGCCGGCGTCGCAGGACAAGGACGGACCGGGAACTTGGGAATCACTCGACACCCCGCGCCCCAGCCCCCGGCAGCTACAGTGGCGAGTCTCTTGTCTCAACGGCGTTCAACGCCCGACGCTCCTTTTCCCAGTACAATCGTCTGCAGTAGATTCTCCAGTACCGCGGCTCGAGAGTACGTCATGCACGGGGCAGTCTGACGATGCCGCGGCCAGACAAGGCTGACATAACCCAGTGTGCCGGGGTGACCGAATTACCCGGTCACCCAGTGCTCGCATCACCAAAACACGTCGTCTGCGGTTGCCGTGCATGGAATCCCTTGGACGCCGTACTTGTCAACGACGTCTCCAGTGTTGAGAAATAATTTCTGTGAGTTTTGAAGGGTCGGTCGCCTGGCCCACCGTCTACACATATTCAGGGTGTAATCCAGGTGTCAGGGATCGGGTTCAGAGTCTTGTATGATCCAGGTGAGAAATAAGTCAATCAGTTTACAGTATTAACCGCAAACGCCAGACAATTTGTCGGAGAATGTCCTCTCTATGGTGTGTGCTTAGGTGATTTTTTTTCCAGTAGTGATTATTTTCGTTTCTGTCTTTACCAGTAGTAATCGAATTATCTTCATGTTTTTATGGTTCGCCTACCCGAGGTGTCATGTTCATGGAGCATTGTTTCAGTGAGGCATTTCTTGCAATTTACTGGTGTGCTTTTCTCCTTACCTACTATAGTAATTTCGCAACAGAAAGTGATGTTAATAATTTGTCATTCTTTAAATATTGTGTCGAGTGCATCCTTCATAATTTTTTATTCGGAGGGTTTCAAAGAGAACGCTTTGGTATTTTAAGTGTTATTTCAGCAATCCAAGATTAGTATTTCTAATATCCTTATTAGGAAAATTGTGTACATCCGCATAAGTTGCTTAGAATTTATAACTTAGTTGATATTTCAGTTGAAAGAAAATTCCGCTACAAATCCGTTGTTTATCTTTACTTACAGTTCATCCCCTGTGCACCTCATTCGGAGAACGATATGCTACCCGTCTCCATTCCAAACCTGCATGCAATTTTCAACCATTCTACTCAGATACAACTCACTAAAGCAATGCCCACTACACGCCAAACAACTATTCAACGAAAAGAGAACTATAAACGTCATATAAACGGTAATTGTTAACTTTCTCAGATCACCATTCTTATCCAAGCACAAGTATCCGCACATTCTAAGTCCTGAAGGGGTAGGAGAGACGTTGAGGACAACATATAGAAAAGTTTCAAACAACTAGTGGCAAGAATGCCACTGAATTCAGAGATGAAATCTCAACACGAAATGATTTCATCACAAAAGCTCTCACGCTCGTTAAAGAATAAACTAGATAACAATACTATTCAACATATCTCCAAACAATTGATGGTCAATCTAAGAACAACGGTTTTAGAAATACTCTTGTGTTTAAAAATATGTATTTCTTTTCAAGCCTCCATATGACACACCACATCACTTGCAATAGCCATGCAACCATTTATCCAAAGAAAAAAAATGTAGAATGCGTGAGATCCAAGTAAATACAGCAAAAAAGGATGAGAAGTGGATAAAAGTAAATGGGTGAAACACGACTAAATTCCATTAACATCACCATTAGAAATGCCTCTTACCTTAAAAAAATTAAGTACAGCCTTTGATATTTAGTTTAATCTCATAAATAAATTTAAATTAAAACCATACCAAATAAAATAATATGCAATGCACATTATTTCATATAATTCATCTCTAATATTTTTTATTTTTGTAAACTTTTGTCAACTCTAGTAATTTCTTTGTAGATGAAATGTATATGCATGTCAATTGATCATTTAAAAAAGGATAAATTTTATTTTAAAAATATTATATATACATAAAATCGGATATAAACAAAGGTTCTGTGATGTTTGATAATTTTATCGAATTAATCACAATATTTGTTCATTGTAATCAATTCAAAAATACAATATTACATCATACAAAACTATGATATGTTTATGATTCTGCATCTACATAATTATAGAGCTTATTCTTGTTAGTTTATTTTAGATACTCAATATAATCGATTGACAATGAAATCATGTTTATCTTCTAATCTTTAAAGACTAAATAGTGGTAAGAACCCTTATTCTTCTTGATAGAGTACATTGTATCAGCATAAAGAAAAAAAGACGATTAGACGAGGAAGTAAGCAAATAAATAAAGCTATGGACCTGAAAATAAGATCTGACTATGAATCAGGCCATGTAAAATGTGTGTTATGAATTTTAATTTCAATATAGAATATTCAATCACAACAATTAATATAATTATAAGTTTTATGTTACAATCTCAATTAAAAAAAATTAATATGTGAACTAGGTAGACTCACACAATTATCTTAGAAATAAGAATCTCAAACAATATTCTTGATTAAATTAATTTTACATGTAGAATTCAATTTAATGTAACAAATATATTTAATTTAATTATTTAACAAAGTAGGAGTATATACATTTTACAAGTTTGTTGCCTAAATATACTTTTGCACTCCTCCATATATCTTAAGTGAAGTATAGTTCTATTTGGACTATTTCTTATATCGTTACGAAATAAAATATAGTTAAAAAAGTAGTCATTATAACATATAACTACTAAAACTAGTCACTATAACTACTTCACGCAATATTTTTCAAAATAAGATAAAATGATGTTGCAAATGTGTCCATAAAAAAATGCAAGTTGCATACATAGTTGAAAAATTACACGATTTTCTCATTTATTCATTCACAGTATCTTCAATTCATCTACGTTCCATCCTTAGTCTAATTCGCATCTGACTATTCATGAAAAAGCATTTTGTTGATTATTTTTTATTCCAAAATATGTATGCATACTTTTATTCTATATCATTCACCTTTTCCACATTGAATAAATTCCTGATTTAGATTTATTATTTCATGTTAATATTATAAAATATTAATATATAGTTATTTCAAAGAATGCACGATGCATAATATTTAAAATATTTAAAAATAGATATTTAAAAAAATTATCTTTAAAATATATGTAAAAAATCACATAATTTCATTCATTCAGATAATTTACTCGTAATTTTAAATATATTGTATCGAAGCGAGCATAATTTCCATGTTATCTTAGAATATATTATGACATAAAAATATCTAAAAAAATTCGACTGTATTGAAAATCATCATAATTTGTTTAAAATCATAATTATTACGAATTCTTTTATTATATATGATAATATTTTATCAATTTTGTTTGTGTGGATATAAATTATATAATAATAAAACCTATTATCATAGAATGAGATATAATTTTATATATTACAATAATTTTATGAAATCAAGTATTACAGATATCTATTTGATATAAGAACTTCATTGGGAGACATGAAAATTGAGTTCACACCAGGGAATGTTAGTTATTAGGGTACTAGCTGTAGATAGGGTTGACTGTATTTCAACGCCAAGAACAAGTGCAAGTGAAGTTATACAAGAGCAAGCCCAGCCAAGCCGGTCTCTACGAGCCTTGTGCTTAAACCCTACTTTCATTCGTTAATGGATGAGACCCTTCTTGGGGCCGAGGATGGCCCCGTCATCAATCCGGGATATTACCGACAAATCTGAAGGAGCTGAGACCAGCGGGTAACGGGCAACACCCGATCTTGTCCCTCTGATAAAACCGCGGGAAAGTCAAGAATCGAGCGTTCATTCTTCGCGGCCGAGGGTAGCCGGTAGACTTCCCGCCAGCGCGGCGACAGGGTAGCCGGTAGCCGGTAGGGTTGGGCCGGTGACTTTCACGGAGGAAAGAGACGGAAAGCATCTTCGTTACGCTTAAGGCGGCGCGAGATGGCGCAGTCGGCTTAATCAACGATTCCCGGCAACTGCTTGCTCGCTGGCCGAGGACGAGTTGTGCTCCCGGCCACTTTTAAAGCGTAACTGTCACACATGAGGATGCGAAGCGTGGGCTTCGTAGGCCCGTAACTGAGCCGGTAGGCGGAGTCTCTTCGCGGGTGCGCTTGATTTGCTCGGTCAGGCTAAACCGCGGTAGCTTGATGACCTCCGTCTGGCGCGGCTTTCCTGACGCGCTGGTGTGTCCCGATTCTCCCGGTCGCTCGCCCTTGTCTTCCCTTCGCTGCTCCCCCGAGCGATTTCTCGCTCGCTGCGGATCGTTGGTGCGTATTCGTCCCGTCTCTGTGTCTGGCGTTGCTGCATGACTTGTTCGCAGTTGTAGCCCTTTGCATGTAGTGTAATCCTGAAACCCTCGCCCGAGGCGCGTCTCTCTGCCGCTCTCTCTACTGGCCAGGATTGAATTACCGGGCCTGCATGCTTGAGGGTTTCTTAATTGCGTCGATGGGCGATTGATCGTGACGGGGTTGATGCTTGATTTCCCGAAGTTCTGTTTGGTTTGTTCGTCGATCCGAGAGGGACACGCCGGTGTTCTTTATCTTCCTTAATATGATTAGGTGACAATGCGATTGGTGCTTGTGCTGGGTTACGTGATTCTCTTGGCTTTATTTGAAGCAACGTCCAGCATGTTCGATCCATTGGTCTCACCTACTGCGGCCATTTAACACTGGGGCTCCAATGCCTTGATGATTTGGGGATTTTGTCGAGAGAGAGGTGGGAAGGACACGTTCTGTTGCCACTATCACACAATTCTGTCAATTCACACATTCCCTGTGTAAATTGTGCTTGTTTGTATAATGAAATGTTATCTTTGTGATGTAAGTCTTCTTCTGTCCGTGACGCACGTGACTCGCCATTGTTGGGCAGGTTTCTTCCACATGTTTGCATGGAGCTGAGTACTTCTGGGCATTAGGGTAAGAATTGCTAGAGACTGCTGTTTCTCTAACAGTGTGATCGGCATGCCCATTTGTTGACCGACAAGGACATGATTGATGCCGATTTATTGCAGGATGAAATCCGGTGCCAGCACGCGGAGGGGAGTTATTTAGATAAATCTAGGGATAGTATGAAGGTTCCGATGGTGCCCTCGTGAAATTGCTTCGTAGTAAATCGAAATCTTGGAGTGCCCTGTAAGTACGGACAAGCGTGGAATGAGTATGTGTCGTTGTCACGTGAGACGGAGCAACCTAGAATGTTCCAGTTCGGAGTTAGAACGGAGCGGAAATTGTCTGTATTATGTCGAAGTTATCTCCGGGGATTTTTGAATCTGGAACGCTAATTGCAGTAGGGGTTTGGGCGATGCCCAAAAGGAGAAGCTTAGTTTTTTGAGCAAGGGATTCTTCACAAATACGAGCTGGGGTTCCGATGCCGTGTCAGCTTGTAGCAATGCTGAGAAGCACCGAAACTTCGCCAGGTTGCATTGAAAAGCTGGTTTTGTCACCTTATATCCAAGAGAGATTGAGTCCATGGAGGAACCATTCGACTCACTTACGGAACGCATGAGTTTCTCGGGTCAGTGGCGGTGTACGTGAAGAAGAGCTGATCTTTGGAGTCTATTTTCAACCCAAAATGCAGGAAGGAGGGGTTTCTGTAGTCCCACTTTTGTCCGGAAACGGCAATTCAACCGCAGGGCCTTCTCAAGGAGCTCCAGCAGCAGGGAAAGGTAGTGTGTCTACAACGATTGCACAAGGAGTCGCTTTAGCTTCTAGAGGAGGCGCCTCATCGTCCTCCGCACAGGGATTATCTCTTCCATCACGGGGAGGGATGTCTGCCTCCGCATTCCAGGCGGCTTCCAACACTCCTCGAGGTGGAGTTACGACTTCTGCCTTTCAAGGAGCTGTAAATCCTCCCAGACAACGGTTTTACGTTGAGCTTAAAGAAGGCGAAACCAATGTGGTGTCGTGGAAAAAATTGTTGAAAGACGCACAGAAGCATCTGACTCCTCCTGTCGCAGAGGCCCCTGCTGGTGCCAATCCTGCGTTAGAAGCTCGTTTTGCCCCCGAAGTATGTAAGACTTGCGTTGTCTCTGGCCGTTGATTGACCCAAGGTCATATGTCTTATGAATTTCCGAGTTTTATTGTTTTCTCTGTCTAGCGATTATCTAGGACACCGTTGTAGGAATGTTCAAAAATCCAAGAAGATGCTTATTAAGTTCTTCGTTTCCTGTCGTCATGTCTATTTCTATTGTTCAAGCATTGTCTTAGAGATGGAAGGGCTGTCTCGTTTCGGGCTGCAAAGATTGAAAAGTGTAGTTGGTGGCACTTTTCAAGGTAGCTGAATGTCACTGGCATTTGATCTCGTCTAGGTCGTAAAGACTAGATACGTAGTTGAATGCATCTCAGGTGTGTTGTGTCTCTCAACCTATGTCAAGATATGAACATTCCTACATTTACAATTGACGTGGACTCTTCATGTCGATCGGTTGCAGCGGGCAGGCTCGGTTCATACCAACAATGGAGCTGTCCAAGAAGCTCTGCCACCTCCACCAAATCGCTTCAGTTCTGTCATTGAGAAGATTGAAAGATTGTATAAGGTTGAAACATACTACCCGAACGTCCCTTTGGAGAAGGCTGATGTATCACAATAAATTTTAGGCTGTGGTGTGATGTTGTTAGCCTGCAATCTTTTACTTGAACATAAAGAAAACTTGTCTGCATAGGGAGGAGACAGCGAGGAAGAAGAGGGTGATGCTTCGCCAGATGATTCGCAGTACGACACCGAAGATGATTTTATCGATGACACTGAGCTGGTACTGCCAACCCACCCTCAGTTCATGTACCTCTGTATTTTCGTGAATTCTCTTAATACATATGAAGCTCATAACTTGTGCTTGTTTCGAGTTGCGATGACCTATTGCTTCCAGTTGAATTTGTTGAAGTTTGTTGTCGACAGAATGAGTATTTTTCAGTTGAGAAGTCGAAGACAAAACATACCGGATTTTTTGTTAATCGAGGGAAGCTTGAGAAAGTGTAAGTTGATTCTGCTTCTCGACTTCAGATTTTTGAAGATATGTTCGCAACGTTATGACACTGGTCATGGTCTCGCTAGGAGTTGCAAGAGTTCATATCATCATTGTGGTACAGGTCAATGCCAGAAAACGATATCTGAATACATATGCTTTCTTGGGTCTGTGTTAGCAACGAAGCTCCCGCATCTCCACCTGCCCATGTTCCTAGGAAGAGGAAACGAAGAGACATGAAGACAATTGCTGCTGAGAAGATAGTGGAGGAGTCTGCGAAGAAAAGAGTGAATACAGGCCTGCGACTGAAAGATGCTGCAAGGAAGTCTCTTGTATCACATGCAGCTGAGCGAATGGCTGTTACCTCGACATCGCAGTATCGGAGTTCGGACCAATCTTCTGTGCCCAAGTTGAAAAAGAGGCTGAAGCCAATCCTCGAAGGAAGGGATAAGAGTGCCGAACAAGTTCTCACGGCAACGGTTGAAAATCTCAACAGAGAAATTTTGAAAGTCGCAAAAGTAGAAGATACGATGAGAGAGTCGAGCGCAAAAGCCCCGATGACCATAGTTGAGCTTTCTGACGATGACAACGATCCAGTCGAGGTGTCCAGGCAAGCTGTGGATAATGAGAGGAGGGTTGTGGAATATTCCAAGAAGCAGTTAACAAGGCAACACGAGACTGGTCAAGCTGCTGTTGATGAGAGAACTTACTCCAGAGCAGCCAAGGTATCAGCAGATGAGAGGCAACCCAGAGATTCGTCGAAGGAGACCAGAAGTCCAGTGAATTTGTCCAAGGTAATGAAGGATCAACAGTTGTACAGAGAATATGGGACTTGGGAGAAAGAGGGGTCAGGCAGAACTCCAGCATCTGTGGTGCGCTTTCTTCGTATTGACCATCATAGGATCATATCATATCACCTTGTGTCGAATCTTAGGCTTCAAGACGACTTCCTTTGCTTGACTTTGCCCTTGCCGAGTCATTTATGCCTAGAGTAAAACTCCTGAGCTATTTCGTATCATTGTCATGTGTTGAAAAGCTTGTCATTAGTTTGACATCCATCAGTTAGCCATTATATTTCATTTCTCTTTCTTCTAGTCAGTACTTTGGGGACAAAGTATAGCGCGTCATACTCGAAGACGCCGTCCTAGTTGGTCTGACAGAAGATCAATGCTTAGTGCATTGTTTAACCACAGGCGTGCTTGAAGTTTAATATCTGTATGTATACGTATGCAGCAAGCTCTTCCCACTGTCTCTAGATTAAGACCTCGCTGTACTTTGCCGTACGAAGTTCGAGCAGAAAATTACATTCTTCTTACAACTTAGGTCGTTACATGTAACTCTTATTGTACGAAGGAGTTCGAATTAACTATTCAATTGGGATTCGACTTTATCCTTATACACCCCAATTCGTTCAACGGAGTGGGTAGCTGCCAACACCTGCCTAGTGTACTACAGTGTGCTTTACTTGTATCTGTCATCTTAAAAAACATATGCTTCACTCACCTTTGGTGCTTCTATGTTACTGGGTATCTTTGAGAGGTTTCTCTTGTTATCATGGTGCTGCTAATAACATTGGTAAACATTCTACTTTCACATGTAAAAGGGAGGTATAGCTAGGGGAAAGATGTTCTGTGTGAACATCCTCTGAATGCCTGCGAATAGATGTGATGAAACACTTGGTTAGTCTGTTGCCTGATGTTCTAATCATGGTATGTTGTCCATCAAGGTTCTTGGATTTGTGAAAAATGGCGAACTTGTTCACGCCAAGCATTCTTAGTTTTGATAGTGTATCAGACAGTAGTCTCTTGTTGCAGTTGCATATTCTGTTTATAGTTTCCCTATGCACTAGTGATTTTCGTTTATCTCTTTATCTGTTTAACCTGAAAAACCTGCCAATTGTTTTTCTAACTCTAGCTCGTCTCGACGTAGGTATCATTTCCCGGTCCCAAGGAGGTGAGTCCCGGAAAGCGTGCTGGATGGCCGAAGGGTACAGTTCTGGAGCGGGCAATTCATGATTTGGAGAAGGGGGTCGCCGAATGTATGTTTGTCGTTCGTACCAAGTTTTTCTGCCGTAAATGCAGTCGTTCTGTGGAAGGACTAATCCGGTCCTGTTTGCACTTCTGAGTCAAACTTGTTTAAGTGGCGACGATATGTGCTCATGTCTCCACTTCTTTCTTGATTCAGCTTTCCCGTTTAGAGGAGACAAAGAAGACAAACAGAAGGCAATAGAAATAGCTGAAGCACAAGGAGGGAAGAGCAAGAGGATGCCCAGAGATGTAAAACAAAAGCTAGCCAAAGTTGCAAGACTGGCGGTAAGTTAATATTTCTTCAACTGATTGTTTAAAAGTAGGTCCTCACCATATTAGTCGCTGTTACCTGATATTCAGCGTGGTTGTCCATGTTTCGAGGCTAGGAACAAATGCATGTCATTTTAGGCCTCAAAATTACCTGAGGTGACTCTTTTCTTTTTCTTAGTATATAAAACAATTTCGGGTAATTGATTGGAAATCGAGCCCTATGTAGTATCGTACAGAAACGGTCAGGACGAGCTTTCAAGGAAAAGTGGATTCTGTCACATCTTGTAGATCCTAAAGACGAGCAGGAACGTGAAACGATCACGTTGACAATCCCTGTCAAAGTTTCTTGAAAGAATTTGAGTCTGATTATTTGTTTGGACCCGATTCTTGATTGAAGTATTTCTACGTGTGGGATTGCAACAGGCACGACAGGGCAAAATTCCTGATGAACTTATCGACCGCCTGATGACAATATTAGGTCATGTCATGCGGTTAAGAACATTGAAGGTATTGTATGTTCTCGCTTTCATACAATCGTTTTATGTCGCAGTGGACGAATAAATTCAAAGAAGCTGTATGGTCGGAGTTAGGAAATTTGTTTGTTTCAATTTTGACACTCTCTTTCGTCTCAAAATGTCGGTTTTGTTTTCGTACCTGCTCAGTGTCTGTATTGCACGATTATTGCTTGAGACCACTTTTAAACAAAATGGTAATTTGTTATCATCATCACTTTCTTTAGTTTATGTGGATTGAACTCCATTGTTTGGGATGTTACATATGGAAGGTATGAAAGAGTCTCATTTATGGGGAGAAATTTACTGTAGAGAGACTCTTCTCCTTTAAGGAAGTCTCCCTTTCCTATTTCCTTCTTCAACCCGTGTTACATCTTACCACTCCCTTACTATCAGCATTGTCCAGTCAGGGCACCAAGTCCTGACTGGGCTATGGTATGCAGAATCATAATTCAGGACTTCAGTCTCTGTACGCGTGTATGAAAACCTTTTTTGACCTCCACTTTGTTTTGGATCTTGAGAACGGACGGATTTACTTAACCTCTAATCGTCGTTGGATGTCGAATATATCTCTTTGCTCACCGTATCACTCGCCTTCGCAGAGGAACTTGAAGTCCATGGTTGAGTTGGGAGTGACAGCAAAGCTTGAAAAGGATGTGCGTCTGCTGAGTATGAAGCGTGAAGTTACAGAGTTGGTCAAGACCCGAGTCTCCCACCAAGCTGTTGTAAGTAGTTTTGAGCCTACGCTCGATATTGAGTTATTTTGCGATGTTACTCGTCTATGGAGTCTCTGGAGTTGGGTTGCTACCTCTGGTGGTGTTTTGTATGGTTTATCACCTCTTTCCTCTTGCCCTCGTGCAGCCAGAAATTTCTCTCTGAATCTGTATGGGGCTTTCGCTATGTATATGAGAAATCACGATGAGGGTGACATGAGTGGTTTGTTCATTTGTCTTCTTAGGATGCCGAGCAGCGTGATGGTTCGTCCGACGATTTTCAGTCGGCTTCAGGCTCAGGAGATGTAGGTGGACGTTTTGTAAATGGACGTTACAAGTGGGATCAGGCAACTGAAGATCGAATTTGCGATCTATATGACCAATATGTGGAGGTTGTTTCCTTATGCTACCAGTGAATCATGTCTAGGTGCTCCAATTTCTATGTTTGACGGCGGATCGTTAGTTCATAGTTGAAAGTCTGGGTCAGAGTCACTTGAACATGACCTTTTTTTATGTTCATCTACATCAAACTGGCAAAACGTGAGGCCTGCTGGAAAACTTATACTAAGAGTAGCTTTCCTCCATTGTCGTCCTCGTACTTCAATTGACACAACTGTTGTGTGTATGTATGGACGTTGTGTCCAAACTACTACTGATGACCTAGTGTGGTCACCTGTTGAAAATTGCAAGTTTCGGACGGCAATAAATATCCGTACGGCAAGAAGAGTCAGACGTGGAATCATATAAGCACCTGCATACTGTTGGAAGGGGATGAATTTCTACTGTCGAGTTTCTACTTCAGAATTTCTGGACTAATTTCTAGAAGTTTATCCCATCCCCTTCCAACTGTAATCTAGTCAACTGTACCACGGAATACATCATATTCTGATACCACCATTCACACGGATGTGTTATGGAGTGCAATCTGCTAAAGATTGTACTGAAGATCAGCGAGTGGCTAAAGATTAAAAATATCAACAAAAGATAAATTGATGGACTAATTTCATCCCCTTTCAACTACGGGACTAGATTCCATGATCCAAAGCTGGCGCTATGCATGAGATGGGGACTTGAATTATGGGGACTTGAATTATAGGTTTGGTGATTAATTTAACAATCACCAAATGTACTATCGACTTAATAGTGTGTACAGCTGATTAATTGTTGCCGTAGCATGTACAGTAGAACCCCTTTAAACTTATATCCTTGGGACCGGGTGCTTGGTATCAGTTTAGAGGGGTTATCAGATAAGAGGGGTAGGGGAAAAACAGCGAGCGGATGCTAAATACTGTAACTATGATGTGATAGTAAACAGGTGGCTTTGTTTTCCTTTTGGGGTTGTCTAGCAGAGCCCAACATTGGGTGCCCATACCCATGCCCAACCCAAACCCACCCATGCCCATGGGTTATGGGTGGGTTTTGGGTGACAGTATTTTTCCATGGGTGGGCACAAGTAACTGCTAAGGGCAGTTTTTGTCAAGATCCAACCAAGAATTTGCGTAATTCGAGTAGCATGGGTGGGCACAGGTTGGGCTATGCTGGGTGGGCATAATTGGGCTTAGGTCGCTGCTGATGGTTATGGTCTGGTCTGGGTGCAAATTTGAAGTAAAATGTTGGCCTCTGGTGTCTAGTAGAGCCCAACATTCGGTGCCCATACCCATGCCCAAACCCACCCATGCCCATGGGTTTTGGGTGGGTTTTGGGTGAGATTATTTTTCATGGGTGTTTATGGGTGGTAGGGTTGGAGGCACAACCTCAAAGTGCATGCCCCTGGGCGAGGGCACCGGGGCATGCCTAGCATTTACCATACGAGGCATGCCCGTATGTATTATCAAATTACCACGTATATTCTAAAGTTATAGACGGTGGGATAAGTAAGGAAATAAAACTGTTTAAAATTAGACGTCGCTCGGTGGGAAAATTGCACTTTCAATTTACGAAGGGATTTTCTCGTTTCATTGTTTTGTTTAGTTTGGGGTTGTATATTATGACGTAATTGAGACTCTGTGCGCTGCTCTATAACTGATGTTGCAGTGGTTTCATGATGAGGTATGGAGATGTTTTGCTATCCAAGAAGAGGAAATTTAAGATTGGGAAATCATGCTTGTTGTTGGGGGCTGCATGGTACTGAAACTACTCTTGGAACTGAAGGATTTTCCAAGTATGTGCAATGCTGTTTTTGTGTCGGTACGTGGGAAGTAGATAGGTCCTCCGGCTTTATTACCTTCAGCAAATGAACCGGATGTCTAGCATGAGGAACTACATTTCCTTGAGGCTTGGACGATCTCCACTAAACTAGATCTAGCTCTGCTACATGGCACAGAATTAGATGTGATGCTAGCAAATGTTGACAAAGGATGGATGAAGAACAAACATATGCTATGTGCACGTTATTGTTTCCGGCCTTTCTGGGCCGGAGGTTCAGCACTAGCAGCAGCGAGGAAACGAAAGGGACAGGCATGGCTAAGCTAAACCCCATACTTTCGTTTGTTGGTTTGTTTGGAACGGAGTGGGAGTCGGGTCGAATGCAGAGATTTCACCTGCAGTTAGTCAGTTGGTCAGTCAGTGAGTCAGCGGCGAGAGATGGAAACCGATTGCGATGCAAAGCAGTGAACGGAACGGAAGGAGAGCGGGGCAAGGCAAGGCAAAAGGCGGGGCTCTTGAGGGGGAGGAGCGAGGGAGGCAGAGGGCGTGAGAGAAAGAGGAGAGGGAGGGAGAGGGAGAGTGACCAGCACCCTGACCCACGAACAGTGTCGTCGGGGGCCTTTCTTTAGACATCCGGCTTCCTGGTTGCTCGCTCGCGTCTTCTATAACTTTCTCGCTCTGGCAGGGATAAATGGATCATAGCATGACAAAGAGTTGCTGTGCTCAGCTCCGCCTGCTGGTGGTGGTATAGGAGACGAGCGCAAGAGAGAGGACGGACCCCAAGCAACAAGCAAAAAGCCCTCACGTGCTCTCTGCTACTAGCTCATCCTCGGGGTTGAACTTTGTCAGCAATATTGCCTAGGCCCGCCCACCCATCCTCTCCCCCTCTCCTATTCTTCTTCTTCTTCTTTCTCTCCTCTCCTCTCTTCTCTGCTGCTCTTTCTTCATCTCCTGATGCAAATTTTCTCTCATTTCTTACATACATTGTTTATGTTATTTACTTCTGCATTTCTTCTGTCTTCACAATATCTCCGTGTTCTGTGTCAGAATATCTCCGTTCTGTCATCACAATACTTCCTGCTTCTATGCACTCCCTCCATGCCACAGAATTGCCTGGCCCTTTTCTTCTGCACAATTTTTGATGGCTGATATGAATATGGCTGGTGCTGTTGTACTTCCTGCTTCTTTGCACTCCCTCCATGCCACGGAATTGCCTGGCCCTTTTGTTTTGCAGGTAACATAAGCACGTGTTCTCTTTTGCTTTGATTCCTTAGATAGACACTCGGAGATTCTGCTATTGTCTGTTATGGGCTTGAAACTCTCATTTTCGATTGTTTCTACTTCTAAGAGTGCTTTATTTCCATAGAAGTATTTTTTTTGATACGTCAAATGTGCGTATTGTAATACGGGCATGGGGCATGCCCAGGCAGGGTTATGTTAGTCGGTCGCATAAATCACCTAAATTAGCTTAATTTAGTCGCATCAAGAAAGTTAGTTTAGGTTATTTAGGCGCTTTTGTGCTAAAAGCCGCCTTGAGTGCACTTGAAAGCGAATGAAGGGTTCGGAGAGAGAGCCACCATCACTCGTGGGTTGCAGTCCGGTGGTGAGGCTCGTGGGCGAGAGAAAAATTAATTTACAAACTCCGGAGTATGACTGACTCGGTGAGTTATGAGACTGATGTGGTTACAAACTCATTAACAATCATCACACCTTATTGGCTGAGATCTCCCACGTTTCAATTCTGAGCCAATCACAGTCTAGATGCTCCGGTTAATTAAGGCGCTAGAGGGAACTTCAGTTTAGGTAATTTAGGCGCCTTGGTATACGGTCGCCTAAAATAAATAACCATGCCTGGGCATGCCTTTTGACCTTGAAAGGGGGGCATGGGCATGCCTCGAAATTTTTTGTTGTGCCTCCAACCCTAATGGGTGGGCACAAGTAAGGCGCCTAAAATAAATAACCATGCCTGGGCATGCCTTTTGACCATGAAAGGGGGGCATGGGCATGCCTCGAAATTTTTTGTTGTGCCTCCAACCCTAATGGGTGGGCACAAGTAATGCTATGGGCAGTGTTTGTCAGATCCAACCAAGAATTGGTGTAACCGGGTAATAGACATAACACAATTGGCGTAATTTGAATAGCATGGTGAGCACAGGTAATGCTGTGGGTGGGCACAGGTGGGCATAGGTCGCTGTTGATGGTTATGGTCCGGTCTGGGTACAGATTTGAAGTAAAATGTTGGCCTCTGGTGTCTAGGATAGGCCTGGGGGCTGGGAGTTGGATATAAGAGTCACACCTGGCCCTCAGCTCGATAAAAAGCTTACACGATGGTTGAGACCCTCGAGAGGTTCTGGATGCAACAAGATGACTCCTTCATAACTTTTCTCCAGAGGATGAAGGAGAGCGTGAGTATGTTGAGGACGAAGAAGATGGTACAGAAGGACATTGACAGCTTTTTCCAGCGCTTATAGGATACGCACACAAGCACACTTCTGTAGCTCCCTTTGATTTGTACTGTCTTTCCCTGTTTTTCCCGGAGGCGCAGTACTGTATATCAGTTTATGAAAGTTGTGGGACCAGGAAAAAGGATTGAATATCAGTTAAGAGGCGTTTATTTGACCCGAGTTAGGACCAGAATCTGACATTAGTTTAGAGGGGTTCTACTGTATCTGTTTTGATCACAGTGTACTTCTATGAAAGACTATCAAATTGAAGATGGTTACCTTCATGATCGTTAGTTTGTCACAGGTACCTACGTGACTCTTAAGATCCATGACTCTCATACGTCAGTCAACGTTGTTTGTTCGCAGGGAATGGATGAGCACAAGGGCCCACAAATCAGGAAACTTTATCTCGAGGTTTGCTTACGCATCCAAGCATTCTCTAATTATATGTTAATGACCTTGATGATATCTTGTTTTAAATCCAGTTAGCCTGAGGAAATGAGCATGGACCTTTTCTATTTTCGGGTTTGGTTCCGATTCTCTACATTTAGACAGTGTAGTGTACGAGTGGAAGCGCATGCTCACGGTTATAATAGCTCAAGGTTTAGACGAATGCACGCTGTTTTCTACTCCGAAATTGGTTGTAGTACTCCGAGGAGTTTTTTTCTTAACTTGTCTACTTATCAAAGCTAAACTGTTGGGTGGTTTGCTGATTAAATTATATCTGCGAGCCTTACTTGCAGTTGGCGGAGTTGTGGCCAGAAGGATGGATGGACAATCATGGCATAAAGGGTGCCGTTTTTAGAGCGAAAGAACGACAGAGGAAGCAGAATAAGCTGAAGGTACTCTTTGACATGTCCTCTGAGCTGACTCTGTGTTTTTCAGGTTTATTCAATTATCTTAATTTTTATCTCTATCAATGGTCTTTGTGAATGAGACGTGTCTCCTTTGCAGTGCCATACATCAAATCAGGATCTGTTGACCATATCCGCTCAATTTATGACACTTTCGAGCAAGATAGAAGACCCTGACAAGTTTCTGAGTTATAAGGCAGCTCTTCAGTACCTTGAACTAATACTTGGAACCGAATAAGGTCAACAGTCGGATCAAGGAATCAGTAAGATGCTTTCTGAACATGTCTTGCGAGCAAGATATTACTACCAGTACACTGAACTATTGAGGCCGAAAAGTTTCAACAAATTCATCTTGTGAAAGCAGGTGGGCCATGAGATGAAACCAGAGGAGTTTGTGGATGCCAAAGAGAATGAAAGCCAAAAAGTGGCGCAAGTTCTTTCATGTAGTGGAAACTGGCCTAATAATCAGCTTCCGGTGTTACTTCCTTTTGCCGGTACTGTTGTAGCAAAACCTTGAATGTGGTCCTTCGGAAACCAGTCGGTAGAGCTTTTTCTCAAAACACTTTTGAGTTCCACCAGTTGATGGTAACGCAAATACTTTGAACAATTAAACGTCGACCTCACAAGTGCCTCAACGAAAACTTGAAAATGCGTCTAAAATTTCTTTCCTTGTAGATATGGAAATTACTGAGGACTCTCTTCAGTTTCCGAAGACCTCGCAGAATCATCTTGAAGCCAAGGAAGGTTGCAACTTTCAGTGGGTTTGACGAGTCTTCAAAGTTGTCGAACCATTTTCATGCTTTGTACAAGCTCTGGGGAACCCTGGCAAACTTATGTTCTGAGTTCTTCTGCTCACGGGGAAAGAGATGTTATTTTTTTAGGCACCCACATCAAACCAGCAAAGAGCTGTTCCACATGTAGACCTTAGAATTTTTTATAATGCAAACTAACTTTACAAAGTTTCGATCTAGACTTAGACTCACGAGCACTGGGGTTTCGTTCTGACAATATCTAAGCTTAATTCGAGTAGATTTATAGGAAATAATCATCTGAATGTGTTTACCTCAGGGTTGTGGAAGGAGTTACCCTATTTTAGCTCAGAACACCTTGAACAGTTTTATGTTCTTCAGCTTTCGCTGCCTGGTCGCATTTTTCTCAAGAAACTGTAGCGTGTGTTTTGAAAAGGCTTACATTTGCATGTTGTTACGTTGTTTTGAATGGACTGCTCAAAATTTTCTAAGGTTAGCATAATATGGAGAAATCTCCTCGCTTTCACGTGCACCTAAAGCGAGCTATCAGCTTCTAGCATTAAAATAGAAGTACGCTGTAAAACATTTATATCAAAGTGAAGCTTCTACCAAGGTCTCTTTTTACATGATTTGCTGCATATTCTTCAATGCCAGCTATTAGTTGTAAATATTAAGTAATGACCTCATTCCATGTTGTTAAGACTGATAAGGGCAACAAAGATACAGGTTTTGGCCCAAAAGTAGATACATAAAATATAGTTATTCAGGTTGGGTCTCAAACTGAATTGAACTTTAATTCTTTCTATTTGAAGTCCAATTCTGTATACTACTCGCAATCAAATCAGGATAACTGCTTATCAGAGAACGAGGCCATCTTTAGGTACTGTGTGTTGTGTATGATCACCCGAGTGTACTAAACATAATATGTTGACTGTTATGATGCTTTGCCTTTGTCGATGTAGATGGGAGAGGAAAAGAGAAGGAGAAAGGAAGCTCTGATGAGTGAAAAGAGGAACTTCGACTCTGCAGTGGAAAGACACACATCTACAAGTTCAGCACCAACTTATGTGCCGCCTGTGAAAGCACTTCCTTCCAGCAAGGAGAAGTTGACCATCAAATCATCGAGTAAGCAGCGAGTGCATGAGTCAAGTCGGCGTGTGGATGAGGATAATAGGCGTGTAGGAGAGGAAGTTAGTAATAGGCATGTGGAAGAGATAAGAAGACTTGTAGTGGAGGAGAAAAGGCGTGGATCGGAGCAACGTCTAGATGATCGACCAAGCAAGCGTATTGACGAATCTGGTATGAACAGAGAAAATGGATTCCACTCTAGCCTCGCGAAGGAAAAGCAGAAGCTCAGGCTGGAAGATGGGATGAAAGTGAGAAGAAGTGAGGACCTATTGAGTGTGAAGAGGAAGCTTCCACGAAAAAATTATGAGGGGAAAATTATTGAGCACTCAGCGAGGAAGAGACCGAAGAAGGAGATTTCAGACAATCATGGTATAGATATCGGAAGAAGTGCAAACCATTCCCTTCTTACTTCCCCTCTTCAGAAATTGAAGAGAAAGAAGCTGAGACCAACCTCGGAAGCCAAACCCTACCCCTCGCTGAGGATAAGTCCCTCGTCGGTGCACGTCTCAAGTAAGACGGAGAGATATTTAAGCTCCTCGTATCTTCCATCAAACAGGTCCAGTGGTATAACCACAGGAAGGTCTGGAGACTCAGATAGGATCAGAGAGGACAGGCCCAGGGAAAATAGAGAAGACAGGGTTAGAGAGATGATGGACAGACCTAGAGAGATGACAGACAGGCCTAGAGACGTTGCACGGTGGCCTAGTGAAGCTTCCCGTTTACTGAAGGATTGAAGTGAAGGTTATTGACCTTTTTCTTTTCTTTCGTTCTCTCATCTTTTTTCTTCTCTCCGCCCTGGTGGTTGGAATGTCACAAATGATACTGGGAGGTATTTTCTGTAGGTATCTGGTCTAAGGGATATCCCAAGCCAGAGGCTTTCATGGACCCCTGCTAGTTTAGCTTCCTTCTTGCTCGTCACATTCGTGTGTAGGAAAGAGACATTTTGTGAAGCAGTGCCTGTTTAGTATCTTGGAAATTGAAACTCAAGGATCTGTCTGTCCGGTCGTCAGGAAAACTCATATTTGTGGGTTTATTAGGACATCTCAAGTTGTATGTCGTGGACAATGAATGCATGCGAGTGAGGACCAGGTTCAGTTGTGAATGTGGAGAAATCTGTTCAGCTTTAAATATCAAGTAACAAAAGTAAGATGTGGCCTAACCGAAAACGTTTACTAGTTCATAGGTGTGGTAGGTAATGTGCTCTAATTGCCAATGATTCTGATTAGTTCCGTTTCTCATACCAGGTGCACTACTTCCTCCGCAGTGGACCACTTTAAGGTTAAAGCTCTAGATGTGATGTTGGGGTTCTGCTGCATATTTTCAGCGGGTATTGCTGTGAAAGTCATGCTATCATCCTGTGCGGCTGTTTGCAGCATCTTTGTGTCATTGATTACCAGTTTATTGAATACCTCTTTTTCAATAAAGTGGATGAAAGTTTTGGTTGACTATTGAAATTTGTGAACTTGTATTCCTGCTATTTTGATTCTATAATATCTCGTTGAAACTTCGCTACTCGTACATCCTTTTTCTCTGGCCTGTCGTCATAGAAATGCATATTTACCACATCTGAACCTCTTCTGTGTTCCGAGCCTTCCCAGTAGTCGGTCTAACATGACTTTCATGTTTATGAAACTCCACCATGTATTGATACATTAGCGTCTTTAAAGTGCATGCTTAAAACAAATTATTTCGCCGTATCCCGTCTTTAGGTAATGACTTCGGTATGCACAATACCTTCGTGCTGGTTTGCTTGTGCAATTATGTCGATGTAGTCTTACAGAACAGGGTTATATAGACTCGGGGACCCCTAGCGAAAGAAGTACAAAGCTTGAACTTCTAAAACGTGAGCGTACTACGGCTAGACTAGTTGAAAGTCGTAAAGAGTTTAGATTGGTTTTATCTGTGGCCGATGCAAGTAGGCTGCAAATCAACCTAACTCAAAGACCTAAGCCTCTTATGCCTGGCACTAATTCGGATTGCCTTTCTTTCTTTATGTAAGATTTCGGCGATTTCATAAACTCGCCGCTAGCAAATTCAGGGAGAACTGAAAATCTGAAAGGAATGGGTGTATATTAATCTTCATGAGTTTGGGCTGAAGAAGTTCTTGCACACAATGAAGTGTAAATAGAAAAAACTTGAGTACGAGTGTCTGGTTGGAGTATTAAGGCTGCGGAGTTGGGAGAAACAGGTTGAGGACTGAAGTACTACCGATCTTCGAACTCAATTTTAACCAGTTTACCCCATTATTAAGTAGCTTGAAAATGACTTTAAAAAGAACTAATTTACATAAAATTTATGTAATATGTTCGATTATCGTTATTTGTGATTTCAATTTCTTGTTTATTGGAAACAGTAAACATTCATTTAAGTCCGGCAACTTGATACGGGAGGTCTGGTGCGGACTTAACTCCTCTCAACCTCCGTGCGTCAGTTCGTTTCTCTCAACCTCCCACGCAGGAACCTCAAGCCGGAGTTGAAGAAGCCTAATCAACCCCCCTTGTTCAGGGTTCGCGTATGCTCGTTTATCCTCCTTTTCTCCCTCTGGCGTGGCCTCCGCTCTGCCGCGAGCAGGGTTTGAGATCGTCTACCAGTGAGGAGGTAGAGGGGCGCCAGCACACTCACTCACTGCTCATAATGCTCTGCACTTGCTTCGGCGATGGGCAGGTGGTTTTCTGGTTGACGACCGTCGACAGCAGCTTCTATTTTGCTCAAGGAGATTTGGAGCATTTGCATCGCCGTGAAGTGAAACAGGAGCTTCTATTTTGCTCAAGGAAATTTGGAGCATTTGTATCGCGATCAAGTGAAACAGCAGCATCTATTTTGCTCAAGGAGATTTTTTGTAAAATATACTCTTGAGAATTGATCTAGGAATTTTGCGTTGTGAAGTGCGGACTTAATTGGGAGAATTAATGTCTACTGTAATGTGTCGAGAATTGAGGTGTGAATAATATTGCACAAACATATATAATTTACTTGTGTATATGTGACTTTTAATATCCAATCTCTCTTACATGTTTTTGTATGTATTTTGGATGGTTGTGGATTCCTACATGCAGAAGTTATCCGATAACATATGTATTGTGTGTAATTCTACACTGATTGCACATGACTTTGAATTCGAATTAAAGACAGTTGAAGATAAGGACACAAATACAATGTAATGGGCTTTTCCATCCGTATTTCAATCATATGTAGAATTATATTCACTAATTTTAACCTAGTGGCTAATTATGTATTATTCATTTCTATATGATGTAAATTAATATTTTTCTTCACTAATTGAATTTATTGATAAAAAGAATAGGATTGTCTAGTTCTTGAACTTACTCATGTATCGTTGTCATACAAAATACTGATGACTTCGTGAGTTGTTTAGTTGATGTTAAGTATCCAAATATTCATGTAATCACAATAGTCTTTATGCACATTATGATATGAAATGAAGTATTTGATTTTAGTCAATGTTTGTGTTTAGTTCCAAGTGAAATTGTTGTTGTAAGATTTTATTACATCAAGGAACACTTCAGGGTTAACACCCAGTATAGTTTCAACGTACTTATGATTTATATTTCTCTTCTTGTTGATTATAGATTGATAAATTATAGCTAAAGTGACTTTTCAATATTTTCATAGATAATGATTTCTTTAAACTATGAGACATCAAAATTTGTATTACATTGCATTCAAATATCAAAATTTTCAGTTTATATAATAAAAAATGATATATGTTTTCATTCTTGTCTAGACTTTAATTGATAGCTTATTTATCCTGAAATGATTCATATTTAATATTTAGACTTGTATTTTTTCAACATTTAAAATCAATTATTGCTAGAAATAACCTATAATTCTGTCACTATGTACAAGTAGAAAATATTACCAAGAAGGTTTCCTCCATTTTCATAGCAGCATGAGTACAAGCTTTCTTTTAATGTTTTTGTACAAATGAACAAGAAGTTACAAAGTGGACTTAGAGTAGACTTCTATTATAGTAGAAATCCTAACTACAATGATCTTACAAACCTAATCATAGTTAGTTCAAGACATGAGTTAATCTTGACAATCTCTTCCTTGACTCATGTCTTGAGGTTTCAAATTTCCACTTACCATATATTCTATTTACGTAAACTCCTATAAAGAGATTCAAAACATATATGCTGTTTTAAACAAGTATTAATTGAAACTAATCTCTAGTCTATATATAATTGATTAAAACACATATAGAAATTACAGATATATTAGATCTAATTATTTGTGTTAACTAAGTGTGCAAAATTTACAACTTAACACAATGACTCTTTAATGTAATCACTTTGGTGAAAGCATACATCGGATTGAGTTTACCATCAATCTTTACAAGCTCAATCATCTCCTCTAACATTAGTTTTGAAGAAAATGGTAATGGATGTCAATATGCTTCACTCTACTATACATAACTTGGTTAGTTGCAAGGTGAATGACACTTCGACCATAACAATGAAGATTAAAATTATTTTGTTTTAATCTCATCTCCATGATAAGCTTGTCCAACCAAATTGACTACTTTGTAGCTTTGTAGATGCTGTTACATATTTTGCTTAAGTAGTTGATTGAAGAATGCAATTTTGTAAAATAGATTTTCAACAAATGCATTCATCTTCAAATGTGAAGACATATCATGTTGTAGAATTTCAAATCTTGATCATAATTATCGTCTATATAATCTATCAAGCATTTGGCATTGTCTAAATTACCATCAAACAATAAGCTAACGTACTTTGTATATTTTAGTAATCTAAGAATCCATTTAACAACATCCCAATGAATCTTATCCAGATTATACATGATTCTACTTACTTTGCATATAGCTAGAATGATATTTGATCTAATACAAATCATCAAATACAAACAGATTTATACTGCTTTTAACATAAGAAAGTTTAAGCATAGCTTCTTTCTCTTCATCAAAGTAAAATATTGAGCATTAGGATATTTGAAATGAGATGCCAATGGAATTCTCGCGTGCTTAGCATTTGTCATGTTGAATCATGCAAGCACTCGCTCCGTGTGATTAGTTTGATCCAACCAAAGCTTCTTTGTCTTGTATTCATGCCAAAAATCCTATATTCTTGCCTAAATTCTTCATTCAAAACTCATAATTCAATTGAGCTTTGAATTTATCAATATCAGATTCATTTCAAACAAGAATAAGCATATCATTCACATACAAAACTATGATGATATCACCAAAGATAAAATATTTAATGCGTTTCATGTAAGCACATGGATCTATGAAAATCCAAGTGCTTTCATAAATTCATCAAAACACTTATCGATTGTTGAGGAGATTGCTTCAATCCATACAAGTATTTAAGCAATTTACAAATCCACATCTTTTTGTTCTTTCTATCAAAATCTTGAGGTTGACTCATATAGATCATCTCCTCAAATGCTTCATAGAGTAAATAGTAACAACATTCAACTGATCTAATAGAAGATAAAAAATTGCTACGAATGTAGAAATCAACCAAATTGTATAAAGCTTAGCAACTAGAGAAAACACCTCATTGTAGTCTACATCTTTTTCTTATGTATAGGGTTTAGGGTTTACTTTGTTACTAGCCTTGCTTTATGAAGTTTCTTATTCTTCTCTTTGGTATATCTTTCAGCTTGTACATCCATTTGAGGTCGACAATAGGTTGATCTTTAGTACGTTAACTAACTTCCAAATCTCATGATCTTCAAATGATTGCAACTCTTTTTTAATGGCAACATTCCATTTAAATTTGGCTTCACAAGCTCAAACTTTATTATATAATTTTTTTTTGACTTCTTCTAAGATCAAAACATCACATCTTTCTACTCTCCAAATATATCACTATCTTCAAGAAAAGAAGAATTGGTCCATATTTTATACTTTTTTGGAGCTCTATTAGATCTATTTGAACATCATAGGTAGATATCTCAGTTTGATGTTAATCAAACTGAGATATCTATAATCAAATTCTCATCAACAATTGATTGCTTTTCAATTTCTTGTTGCTTAGAAATCATCTTCTCTTGCATAGGAATGTTCTCCTTGTAGCATATGATTAAATATATAAGTACCAATTCCTCTCTCAATGGTGTTTAAAAGAGAAGATTTATCCATGTTAATAGCAAGAGCCTAAGCATT